TGCCACCACTTGAGGAGCTGTGTCAATCAGTTCCTCTCTGGTGAACCATTGATCTTCCTTTGGATCTGTATGATGCCTGAATCTGACGCGATACTCCCGCTTGGGTTTTGGAGGTCTTCCTCTACCCAATGGCTTYKGAACAGGYAKATCYCTGTGATCCACAATGTCGTCGATGTCCACTTGACCATCCATGGTTGGGGGCAGCATCGATCTCCTTGAAGGGAATTGATCTGTCTCAGCGAAAGGTGCAAGCTTTGAGGCATGAAAGACAGGGTGTGTGTGTAGGTGTCCAGGGATACGGATAACATAGGTAGGACCATCCATCTCGTCCCCCACCACATCCAGGACTTCCCAAGGACCAAAATACTGAGGCATTAGTTTACGAGAGATCCCGAATTCCTGTCCTAGCTCACTAGCCTTGACCCAGACACGTTCCCCTACCTGAAATGAGGACTGTCGTTGATGCTTGTTCTCAGAAGCAATCATTGCATGCTGAGCTTTCTTGATGTGCTCAACAGCTTGCTGCAGCAACTTCTCATACTGCACACCATACTCAAGTGTGCCTGGAGTTGCAGAGGGTTGGTTTTCAGGTAGGAGGAAGTCCAGAGCTGATCTAGGCTTCCATCCCAAGTGCAGCTGATTAGGACTGACGCCGGTACTGCTGTGTACAACATTGTTGTACAGGCTGGCGATGAGAGGCAACTTCTCATCCCAATCATCCTGGCTGGGCTTGATGTAATGCCTCAGCAAGTGCTGTACAACTCTGTTCATTTGCTCGGCCTGTCCGTTGGCTTCGGGATGATTCCCTGAAGTCATCTGAAGTTGACTGCCCATCTGCTCTGCAGTCTTCTTCCATAGCTCACTTGTGAAACGGACATCTCTGTCACTAACTATTGACTTTGGAAGTCCATAAACAACTTGATGACGTGGTCAGTCCTTGCGGTCTCTGGCATGACAACTAGTCTAGCGTACTTGGTGAATCGATCAATGATGACGAAGATGTGCCTCTTGGCACTCTTACTGGTCACCAGGGTGTCCATGAAATCCATGGAAACACTCTGTCCTGGACCAGCGGGGATAGGTAAGGGCTTCAACAACCCAAGTGGTGCTTGAGTTCGCGGCTTGTCCCGCTGACAGACCTGACAGGTCTCTACATACTTCTTTGTGTCATCTAACATTCCAGGTCACCAAAATCGTCGTACTAGATTGGCACTCGTCTTTTTGTACCCAAAATGTCCAGTTGCGTCGTGACATTCCCCTAGAAATAAACTACGCAAACTCTCACTCGATGGAACTACTAACCTTTTACACCCGGCCTTATAAAAAAAGAGTAACCCATCCACCATCACAAACTCACTTTCTGTGGCCTTGTCTTTTGCCTGAAGTTTGCGCATGATGTCCATCATGACAGGGTCTTCATGATAGGCTCCCACCAACGATTGAGTTACTTCCGGAGATACACCAAACTCAGAAACTAGCGCCCCTAGGTAGTCTGCTCTACGGGACAACGCATCAGCAACCTTGTTGTACTCTCCCTTCAGATACTCCAGCTTGAAGTCATATTGATCTATGACCTCAATCCATCGCTTGAGTGCATCAGAGAGAGCCGGTGGAGTCTTGATCCATTTGAGGGTCTGATGGTCAGTTCTCAAGTAGAAAAACCGTCCCAACGGGAAGTGCCTCCAATGGACAAGTGCTTTGTAAAGAGCATAGAGTTCCCTTTCGAAGGTGGACTTTGCCAGTTTCTTTGATGGCATTTTCTTGCTCATGTACTCAATCGGTCTCAACTTCTTCCCATCCTGCTGAGCCAGCACTGCGCCAATGTCGTATTGGCTTGCGTCAGTGGTTACTATGAATGGCTTTTGAGGATCGGGAACCATGAGAACTTCATGATTCATGAGTGCATGCTTCAATCGTTTGAAAGCAGCCTCACACTCATCACTCCAGTCCCACGGCGTGTCAAGTCGAGTTAGATCTGTCAAAGGAGAGGCGACTGTAGAATAGTTCTTTACGAAGTTCCTATAGTAGCCGCACATTCCTAAGAAAGATTTGACCTCAGTAACAGTCTGAGGTCATGGCCAGTCCCTTATACTGGCCACCTTGGCATCTTCCGGCCTAATCCCTTCCGCGGATACTTCATGACCCAAGTATAAGATCTTAGTACGTCCGAACTCACACTTCTCTAGGTTGACCTTATACTTGTGTTGTCGCAAGAGTGAGAGTACAGTCTCAACGTGCTGTGCATGCTCTTCGACAGACTTACTAAAGATAAGAATATCGTCTAAGTAGACAACGACAAACTTATCTAAATGGTCATGAAAGATCCTATTCATAGCCTGCTGGAATGTACCTGACGCGTTACAAAGGCCAAAAGGCATCACCACAAACTCATAAAGATCATATCTGGTCTGAAAAGCAGTCTTGTGCTGATCCTCAGGTCTTATCGCTATTTGATGGTAGCCGGATTTTAAATCTATCTTGCTGTAGTACTTGCATCCCTGCACCCTATCCAATAGGTCGTCTATGCGAGGTAGAGGCTCTGCGTTCTTCAGTGTGATGGCATTGAGGCCTTTATAGTCAATGCACATCCTCAATGTACCCCCCTTCTTTGGTACAAATAGTACTGGCGATCCGTAGGGGGAAGTACTCGACCGGATCCATCCCTTCTCTGTCAGCTCTTTCAGTTGTCGCCGAAGTTCATCCAACTCGGCCGGAGCCATCCTATAGATCCTTCCCTTTGGGGTTTTACTCCCTGGAATGATTTCTATGGCATGAACGACCTCCCTTTCTACGACTCCTGTAGGCTCCGTGAACAGATCAGGGAACTTAGCAACGACGTGTTCTATCTCTGGGGGTGTTTTAACGGCCGCCCCTTTCTCAGAGACATACACTAGGTACATACCCTCCTCTTGGTTCTGTTTGTAATAATTATAGAACGCTGATGCACACAAGCAGCCATAGGTATCTATTATGCTACTGGCTTTGAACTTAGTCAATCTGACTGTTCTGCCATCAGGCAACTTATGTTTTAGCACCTTCTTGTCCCAGTCAAACTGGGGCTTGCAACCTCAAGGTAGTACATGCCTAACAACATGTCGAATGGTAAGTCGTCGCTAACAAGGAACGAAATCTTATGATTAAGTTCCCCTCCTCCATAGGAGAAGGTATAGACTGCGTCCTTGATATAGTTTGTGACTATCATGCGCTCCTTATTGGCCAAAGGAGATGCTACAGGTCTACTAAGGTGCTGTACCCGGTCTTGTAGGTGCAGCCTTTCCAAACAGTCGCGACTTATGTAATTCCGCGTGGAGCCAATGTCTATGAAGGCACCACATTTGCGGCCTCCTACATCAACTTCCACCACGAAATGTTCCCCTCTAGGACCTTTCCTTAGTGCCACCCAAGACTCACGAGGGTCCTTGTTTGACCACTCGCTTTCCAGATCTTCTAAGGCTTCAGACACATCCAACGTACAGAGCATAGTTTGGTCTGGATGAGTCTGCGGAGTGGCTAAAGAGTCATTAGCTATGGCCATCTCATGAAGTGGGGAGGGTATCTGGCCCACTTCACCATGAGTAGAAGCAACTAAAACTTCCACCGGCCTCAAGTGTTTCCCGAGCTAGAAGCCTGGGAAGAAGATGCCCCCATCTTAGGAGGTATCTTCTGCATGACCTTTGCGTTCTGGCACTTGTACTGGGTGTGTCCGTATTCACCATAGTTAATACAAGCACCACACCACTCGGCGGTCGCGCCACACTTCTTGATCAAGACCTGCCTTGACCCAATCAGTAACTTTTGTCTGATTGGAGGAGGCCTTTCCTTGACTCTTTTGATGGCCCTTCACTCGGCCACCAGCCTTAGCCTTAACTACTGCGGCGAGGGTGCTACCCTCAGCAATCTCCTCGCCGTCGTACTCTGAAACGTCCAACAGGTCGGTGAGCTCGTCGATCTCTGTTTGAGTTCCATCGGACTCAACCATCATCAATTTAGCCCCCTTCTTCTTCCATTCCTGTGGACTCTTCTTTTTCCTCGCGTGATTCTGAGAAGGTTGAGCACTTCCTAGGGTGGCCTCTAAGTCCAAGGCTTTCCTAGATAAAGTCTCAAACGAGTGATACTCAAGGCGAGCCTCGCTGGCCAGCAGCTCTATTTTTATTTTCTCTTTCTCTATCGGTTGCTTGCTTCAGTTCCCTCTCTAACCGCTCGCAGATCCTTTCGACCTGTTGGAGCTCTAGGAGCTCCCTGCCGCGTGGGGTCAACGGGCTTAATTGCGAGCCCGCCATTTGACTTGTAGACTGCCTAGAACTCATTGAACCGGAAATACCCGTGGGCCCAAGGGGCATTCCCAAATGGGTCCCAGACGAGGACGCAGACGAGGACGCAGACGAGGACGCAGCAGAGCCTGCACCATTAGTCATTGCTGCTGCTTGGCTGCTGCTGCCTGCTCTCTAGCTGCTTCGTTTGCTGCTGCCAACGCTGCTGCAAGAGCATGGGCTCTTTGTTCGGCACTAAGCCGTCTTTCGTCGTCTGGTTGTAAAGCCTGAAACACATGTGGGACCCTAATTGCCCTCGAACGTGTTAGTCTTCGATTGTCAACTCTACCCTCATCGGTGTCTGACCCACTCGTCTGTTAGGCAAACACTGTCTGCACTAGCACCCCCTAGTGGAGTCCTACCACAGCATGTGTCTGACCGACACCTAAGTTTCTAAAAATAATTGTGTCCGGCAGGTCCCCTACTTTTACCGATCAAGTGGTAGCCTACAACATTCACAATAGACTGTCAACATAGTCTAGGTGTATCTTAATTGGTTCACTTACAGCAGCATTAGATAGAACTGGCTATGGTAGTATACAACAGTCCTACTCTAATCTGTCTGTGAGGTATTAGCAGCTGTCAACCAACTAATCAATAATAAACCAAGACCATGTTGCAGATGTATGATCAGTGGGTATGGTTGTGTTTCCAGTTGAGCATAAATTAGGACCTACCCTCCCCTCAATCCAACATACCGGTAAGCATCATTGAGCAACAGTGTCTTCGTGTGCAATGTCGGCCCACCCCTGTGCCCAAGTCATTGCCGAGCAAGCCAGCCCATCCACTCTTATTTACCGTCGTACGGAACGAGCCTTACTACCCAATGTGATCTGGCTGATCAGGAGGGATTTAAGGAGAGCCCCCATCTCCTCAGGAATTCTTTAACGTCGCAGACAGGACGACGATCACAGCCAGAATCAACACTGAGTTCCCAACCAGAAATGTTTATAGACGGTCTGGTAAGCGTCTCTTATGGGCTGGCACACCCGGCAGGACTTCTATCAGCGCAGCAAAGTGCCAAAATGGACAGCAGCCATCGCATGCGTGACCTACTCCCATTGGGTTGGCATGGTAACCGTGACCCAGTGCTTCGACCAGGGCCCTTCAGAGGCACCGCCCTTTCTCCTTCCAGATGCTTCCGGGAAGATTGTTGTCTCTCAAGGTAGAGCGCTCACGACACCTCACCAAAAGAGAGGACTCTCAAGTTGGACTCACTTCCTCGTGGTAAGAAGAGATTGAGAGAGTAGATAAGGTAAGGGAACAACGTACCTGGAGATAGCTGCCCCCAACCACAGATTTCTCACCAATTGAGCTGA